GTATTTGTTTCCTAAACTTTACAAAAATAGGTCAAGTGTATAGCATGGCCTACCATGAAGATTAAAGATCTTTGACATTCCGTAATAAATTAGTTGGAGAAAAAACACTTAAATTTTAGGACAGTTATTGAGTCTAAGGGTTCAGGACTAAAAGCTATGCTAGAAGCTAGCTTGAAATGCTGTTAATGTTTACTTTAATGTAGTCTTACCACTTTTTTCATATGACCCAATTCACTTTTTTAAATGATGGAAGAAGACTGAGTAAAATTTTTAAAAATGATTTGTGAGATGAATTTTACAGGAAGAAGTAAAGCTGCTGAATTCCAGCTCAGCCCTGTGTATAGAAAGCTGTTAGCACGTAACCTCGGATAAGTCACTAAGCTCTCTGCCTCAGTTTCCTTATCTACCAAATAAGTGCATTGCCCTCATTAAAGTGAGATTCCTTCAAGTTCTTAGATTATGAGCAGTGGTTCTGGACATTTTCCCCCCAGGGAAACACACACGGGATCATATTCTATTCTGAGGAGCTGTATCCTCTGTGTGCGTGTGTGTGTGTGTGTGTGTGTGTGTGTGTGTGTGTGTGTGTGTGTGTGGTTGCTTTTTGTTTCAAGGCAGCAGTACAGATAAAATAAGATGCAGCTTATGCATAATTCCCAGTTCTAATCCCTTTTCCTCAGTGATCACTGCTTTTACATTCAAGAACCACAGCTCTGGAGATCTGCACATTTGTGGGCTGTGTGCCACCTGGAAGATTTTTTTAATGCAAAATGCATCCATCTTTTAAAAACATTAATTTTACTTCTGTTCATCAGCTGAGTGTGTAATTGTATATTCTCATGATTACATTCTTTCTCCCGAATCTGCTTACTGAGTTCCACCAGAATGAAAAAAATAACCCCTTGCAAACCTCCCCCCTCCAGAAAAGTCTTCAGAAGGCAGAGCTCCCTTACCTGCTGGCCATCTTGATCACTCTAAAAGGCTAGATCCCCTGTTTGTCCTGTGACTGCCTTTGTGGGAGGCCCAGAAAGGTCTTCAGTGACAAGGTTTGCCCAGGGGCTGATTGCACAGTGGCTTCTTGGAACTGAAAAGGAAAGGGGTTTAGTGTCCTAAAAGAAGGAGAAATGACTGCTCAAATAACAAAGTCTAGGCTATCACCTCAAAGCCTCTTTTGATGGCAATGATATCCATGCAAATGCCAAGCCAGGCGACCCCACACGCCTGTCTGTCTGCAGGACCAATATATTCTCTTAAAGCACTTCTGTTCATCAGTGCCAGTAAAAAGAGCAGCTCTCCCTCTGCCTGCCAGGAGCACCGCTATTAGATCAATTAGCAGCACCTCAGCCACCCAGATGCTTCCACCTTCTTCTGAAAAGCAGCCTTCCCACAGACAGGTCACACTGAAATGGCACTTGCTAGCATCCGTGTGAATCCCAGGCACTGATGATGACAGGCTGTCCAGCTCGCCTGTCGACTGCAACGCAGTGCACACAAGTGTCAGCATTTGGCAAAGCCTGTAACAAGGCCAGAGTCAAATAAGAACATTCGAGCTGTACAGGAGTCAGCACGAGCCATCTGACCACTTTCTCTGGGATTGCACTCAGTAGGAACCTATCAGAGAGGCAAGCTTGGACCCCAGATCAGGGGCTTTACTACACAGGACGAAAGACCTTCAGAAGGGGAGTTAAGGGACTTCCCTGGTGGTCCAGTGGTTAAGACTCTGTACTCCCAATGCAGGGGGCCAGGGTTCGATCCCTGGTTGGGGAACTAGATCCCGCATGCACGCCGCAACTCAGAGCCTGCATGCTGCAGCTGAGAAGTCCACATTGCCACAACTAAGAAGCCCGCATGCTGCAATGAAGATCCCGTGTGCCACGACTAAGACCCGGCACAGCCAAAATAAATAAATAAATATTTTTAAAAAAAAGGTAGGGGGGGAGTTAAGTTGACAAGGCTTTATATTAAAGTGTGACTCGGATATCTGTCATCTGGGACTTTCCTCTCCCTTGAGATATAAATAAGCTTTGCTTCAGATGCACAGTCTGTGGAAATCTGAATTCTATGACTTCTTGGGGGCTTGGGGTCTCTGCCTCAGCTCTTGGTTCCATTCCTGGGACCGTAGCCCTACAACTTGTCAGGTTGCCTATAAAAAAAGCATGTATGAGCATGGGAGGCCTTCCGAAAAGCTGGTGTCAGTGAGGAGACTCACACCGCATATCCTCTAATGGCATAGTTAACAGGCCACACGAGACTTCCCTATTCTCTTAAGCTTTGCTACTCAGGGTGTGGCCAGAAGACCAGTAGCACCTGTAGGACCTGGGTGCTTGGTAGAAATGCAGACTCTTGAGCCCCACCCCAGCCCCAGTAAATCAGAATCTAGGTTTTAGTAAGATCTCAGGAGATTCCATTCATTAAAGTGTGTGGATCACAGATCTAAAGTCCTTTTCTGTCCCCTCACCCTGGACGATTCTCTACCCTGCCCTTGCTCCATGCGGTACCCAATCTTTCGCCTTCTCTTTCTTCCCCCTCCCTTCTCTCCTGTTCTTTCATCTCTTCCCTCCCTGTCAGGAGATACAAACAAATTCTTTGTGTCCTGACAGAGCAGGCCTCTTTTCTGGAGCCTCAAAGCCAGTCACCACCTAGGCCCTGAGGGTCTCACCTTCTACCAGCCCTCAATCCTGTCCCCAAGCTTACTGAGGTATTTGTCTAAACAAGGTCCCCCACTAAGAGGGACCCTGATACCAGCTACTCCAATAAAAGAAATCTCTCCATCCCATTACATAACACAGCCCCGATTTTATAAAGACATTCCAAACAGACCCTTAAATCAATTCAGGATTATTAGCCATCATGTAAGTGTTAGACCTGGGGAAGCTGAGTCTTCGGCAGGAAAGTGACTTATTCAAGGTCTTTTTGTGGTTACTGGCAGAGGCAGGACCAGAAGAATTCTTAGACTTCCCAGTGCAGTGTTCTCTTCACTATACCTCTAATTATTCTACTTTAAACTGCACCTTTAAATGGCAACCAAATTCTCTTCCTGAGCAGCAAATATGTATTGGGTGCCTGCCGTTTATAGCAAGTGTTGTTTAAAGGTCAAAAGAAGCAAAACAGACCCAGTTTTTCCATACTCGCTCCTTTGCCCAGACTTCTCCCTCAGACTAACATCCTCATTCCCACCTATCTGCCTGGCAAACTCCTACACATCTTTGAGAATCAACAGTTGGGACCTTCTTCCAGGTTCCTCCACAAAATTAGTCACTACTTCCTCTGTGCAAGCACGTTATTATAACATTTCTTCCATCATATGTTAAGCCTTTGTTGTCCTAGCTGTTCCGCTCTGGGTAGAAGGTTCTTCAAGGGAGGGCCGAACTCTGTGGTCCTCATCACTGTATCATCAGTGCCCGGCACAGGAGAGGCGCAGAAAATGTTTGTTTTCATCCTCTTTTTTTCCCCTTGGATATCCCTACAAATTAATGACATCAGTCAAACAAATCCTGTCCTTAACTCAGCCACTTCGTCCTTAAGCACCTGACCCCTTTCTGGACCTGCGCTACCTCGGCCCATCTGCCTCACCCGGCCACTCATTTCTAGTCTTGGCCTCCCCTGTCTATTCTGTTGCTACCCAAAGTTTCCAGCTTAGCCACCAGCTACTTGTGTATGACTTCTTGAAAATCACCTGTTATTGTAACAGGTGATTCTGGACCTCATCTGCAAGTTGAGTGGGTTTGACCCATAAGCTAAGAGCTCTCGATGGCAGTGTTACGAGATTATAACACACCTCACAGGTGTGTTATAATCAGTTGTGAGGTGCTTTGTAATTTTTTCATGTAATCGTTAAGGTTTACCAGTGGTCTTTTTAACAAATAGAGAAGATTAAGGGTTATCCCTCTGACTATTATTCTCAGTTGCATTCTGATGTGCTTTCTGGAATAGGAGAAAAGGGGTGTAGTTCCAGGGATCACACACACTTGGGGCACACACACCTTGGGATCCTCTTATGTCTCACCAAAAAGTTCCATATCATGTGTGTCTCAACTGGGCACAGGTTGATCTATAAGAGTCTTTCTGCCTCCATCATCCTTTGAGCTATAAGACCTGGATATACAATGGAATATTACTCAGCCATAAAAAGAGACGAAATTGAGCTATTTGTAATGAGGTGGATAGACCTAGAGTCTGTCATACAGAGTGAAGTAAGTCAGAAAGAGAGAGACAAATACCGTATGCTAACACATATATATGGAATTTAAAAAAAAAATGTCATGAAAAACCTAGGGGTGAAACAGGAATAAAGACACAGAGTTACTAGAGAATGGACTTGAGGCTATGGGGAGGGGGAAGTGTAAACGGTGACAAAGCGATAAAGAGGCATGGACATATATACACTACCAAACGTAAGGTAGATAGCTAGTGGGAAGCAGCCGCATAGCACAGGGAGATCAGCTCGGTGCTTTGTGACCGCCTGGAGGGGTGGGATAGGGAGGGTGGGAGGGAGGGAGACGCAAGCGGGAAGAGATATGGGAATATATGTATATATATAACTGATTCATTTTGTTGTGAAGCTGAAACTAACATACCATTGTAAAGCAATTATACTCCAATAAAGATGTTAAAAAAAAAAAAAAAAAAATGGTGGTCTACCTTTTACTAGATTCCTCAGAGCAGAACAGACAGACAGACAGACAGCAGGCCTCAAGAAATTAACTGGTTCCAGCTGATTACATGACTCACCTGGTGGGCTATGGCAGTGAGCTTTCAAGTCTCACTGTATCCAGGCTCTTTGATGGAATGGGGCCTCCAAAGTAAAAAAAAAAAAAAAAAAAAAAAAAAAAAAAAGCCCCGGGAAAAAAAAAAGGAAATTGTGAAATTGTGAAAATTCTGAATTTCCAAATCCCCCCTGTGTTGTGGTAGCTCCTTTTAAAGTTCAAATCTCACTCAGGAACACTTGAACAGGTAACGAACGCTCTTAATTTTTTCCTCTTCCCCTTTGGCTTTGCTCCCAGGAAGCGAGAAGAAGAAAATAGGCGAAGAGAGGCAGAACAGCAGAAGGGAAGGCTGAGCCCAGATTCCTGCAGACCCCAAGCTCCTCCCTGTCTGCCCAGCACCCAGGCTGAGCCCCGCAGGCAGAGCTGGGCGCCCAGCAAACAGCCTCCCTGCAGCAACAAGGCGCAGGGCCCTGAGCGGAAAGCCTGCAGACGGTCTCCAGGCAGAGGGTCTCCAAGCAGAGCCCCCCAGAAGGAGCAGCATCTCTCCCCAGACTTGCAGAGAACAGATCCCAGAAAGCCAAATGGTAGGTGTATTGCCTTGTTATTCAGTGCTAACCTATGGACTGTGGGCTCTTTTGATTCATGTATTTAGACCATTTACATTTAAGGTAATTATGTCAGCACTTAAGTCGGCCATTTTATTATTTATTTGCTCTTTATTTCCTCTGTTTCTCTTTTCTTCCCTTCATTAACCAGACTCTCATGATGTGACAGCCCTGTTGTATTTCCTCAAGTTCTTTCTTAGCTTGGGACCTTTGCATATAACAATCCTTTTATCTGTACGGACAAAAAGTACCTTTTATTTTTCAGCTCTCAGAGTGAATGCTCCTTCCTCTGTACAGCCATGCCTTCCCACTAAACAAGGCTTTGTTTTCCTGCTATATGCTCGCATAGCTTTCCTGTACTTCTCTATTATAAGGATCAACACCTTTCACTGTTATTACTGGCTTACTTGTCTGTTTTTTCCACTAGACTATAAGATCTGTAAAATCAGAGTTGCTTCAGTTATCTACTGCTGTGTAACAAACTACAGTAAAACTAAGCGGCTTACAATAACAGTTCATTATTTCTTATGATTTTGTGGGTTGGTTGGGCAGTTCCCCCGCAGGCTTCTCCTGCTCTCACTCACGTGGCTACATTCAGTTCAAGGTCAGTGAATTGGATGGTCTAAGATGGACTGACTTGAATGTCTGGCAGTTGACGCTGGCTATCAGCTGGGATTCCTCGACTCTGTTTTACCTGGCCTTTCATCCTCCCATAGGCTAAACTGGCTTTCTTACACAGTGGTCTCAGGACATTATTCTAAGAAAGCACAGGAAAAAGCTATAGGACCTCTTGAGGAATAGGCTGTAGAATGTGCACGCTACATTCTGTTGATCAAAGCCAAGTTATATGACCATCCCAGACTAAACAATATGGAGAAATAGATTCCATCTTTATGCGTACTAGGATGGGAGTCATTTGGGGCTGTTAAACAATCTATCACAGTTCCTTCTGGTCACAGATTATTCACATTTCTCCCACATGCAAAATATTCTCACCCTTATCTTAGGACCCCAAAATCTCATGCCAATTATCACATCAAGTTTTAAGTCTGGGATCTTGAGACCAATGTCGTGTCCAGATGTTGTTGAAGTTCCCCAGGTGTGAATCTTTCTGATTCAGAGACCAATGGACAAAACGCACATCAACCACACACACGTCCAGCAAGCAGTGGTGAGACAGGCACAGAATAAACCACAGGAGATATTCCTGTTCCAAAAGGAGAGAAATAGGAGGTACCTAGCAGTCACTAGTCCATAGCAATCCTGAAAGCCAGCTGGTTATACATTAGCAGGGCCCCTACTCTGAGGTATGGAATGTGCCCTGATTAGGGTCTGGTTTTACTCCTATGTGTGTTTTCTATTCCATTGTTCCCCTTGGCTCTGGGCTCGGCCACCTGGGTTCTTGGCTCTACTCTCTGAGAAGTCTTCCTTTTCCTTGAGACATAGCCCACGTTTGCAGCTGAGTAGACTTCTTAGCCTGTTTCCTGCATATAGGAAACGGGGGCCCCGGAGGCTCCTTTTCATTTGGGACCGCCTCAGTAGTTCAAGCTGGTGGCACTCTCAGTGATACAATTACCTCCAACACTTCATGGGTCTTCTATGAATCTGACTGGGTTCACTCCATGTTCCACAACCACATCCATAATTATCTTTCACACAGGCCTCTCTCTACTTCGGGTGGCGCAGGCTGCTGTGGAACAATGCCCTTGAGATCCTTACAAGTTCTTTTGTCTAGCTGAGAGGCCTGCAATGTACCATCGTTAATATTTTTGAGCTCTTAATAAAGGGTTGCACAGCCATACTCTTGATTTGATCTTCATCTCTAGGTCATATCTTACTATATGAGACTCTTTTGTTGGCAAGAAAAAATGAAAATTTAAAACCGTTTTCTAACCCAGCACACTCTGTGCTCTTTACATTTACTCTCAATTCTGCCTGCAAGCTGAGTAGTTCTTTGTTTCTTTCTCCCCATACCTTAATCATATGCAGCTAAAAAAAGCCAGTTGATATTTTCTTCAACATTCCACCTAGAAAGCTCCTAAGCCATATCTACAAGTTCATTAGGTATATTTTCTATCTTCCAAGTTACTGCAGATGACAGTTTTGCCAATTATCCTGCCACTGACTTACACAGTTCACTTTTCTCCAGACTCCAATAGCAACTTCTTCTCTGCTCCTCCAGACTTCACTAATAGTTTCTTCATTGCCTTTCTATCTTCTGCTCACCAGCCAGTTCCAAAGTCAATGCTCTGGTTTTTTGTTAGGCCAGCGTGTCTCTTTTTTAGGTATCAGTTTCTGTGTTATCTCTAGCGGCATAACACACCACCCCCAAAACTAAGTGGCTTAAAACAATGGTTTATTATTTTTCACAGTTCTATGGGTTGGTTAGGCAGCTCCTCTACTGGATCAGCTGGGCTTATTCCTGTGGTTGCTAGAAGTTTGGCCAGACTAAAAAGTCCAAATGGCTTCCTTCACATGTCTTGTAATTGGTGCTGGCTGTTGGCCAAGGTGTCTCAGTTCTCTTCTGTATGACCTTTCATCGTCCAGCAAATTAGACCATCTTCCTTGCATGTTTTTCTCAGGGCAGTGCTCTGAGGGAGAGAAGGTGGAAGCTACAGGTCCTCTTGAGGCCTGGGCTCCAGAACTGTCACACCACTTATACCAGATTCTGTTGCTCAGAGTAATTCGCAAGGCCAGCCCAGCTCAAGAGAGTGGAGACGTAGACATACTGCAAAATCACATTTGAAAGGTGATCAAATGTGGATCCTAGGGTAGGAAGAATCTTTGACCTTTAAACAGTCTCTCAGAAGGAGCAATATGTCTCTTACTTCTTTATCCCAGCAGGGTGTCTGGCACATAAGAGATATAATAAACATTTGGTGAATCTATACTAGCTAAGTGCTTGAGATTTGGAGATTGTTAAACATGACACAAAAAGTATTCATTGGGTAAACACATTTTCTGTAACAGAGTCCCATTTTTATGGCAAAGCTTTGCTTCTACCTAGTTCACCAAATCAACTTACGCATGCATTTATTCAACAGATGTGTTTTTGAGCCCATACTATGTGCCAGCCATACTGAATTATAAATAAGACTAAGGACCATACCATCAACATTTTCTTTCAGCAGTGAGCACAGTATTGGTTACATAGGTAAATATTTCTTGACCTGACTCGTCACTTAGAAAGCACCTGTTGAAAGTTTGATTGGTTTGGGGTTTACTCTGTACCCCAAGAATTATACTTAATTCCTGCAACTTCAAATAGACAATGGCTTTCCCCCAATCCAGTGCTCTACAGAGCAGAGAGAAGGGGGAGCACAGTTATTTCAGGCTACTTACAACTACACAGGGTAATTGTGGCTTGTATTCACCTTACTATAAAATATCTTGAGACAGTTATGCTGCAAAGCTAGTCACATCTACTGTGGACCTGGTCACATTCAGGTAGTTATCTCATATCCTGAGAAGTCCATGAAGATTGTTTTTTTCATAACCAGTCCTTTTGTCCTTAATTTACTGATACTACTGATAGTTAGACTTCCTCTCCTCACTATTGGTTTAAAGGTGAACTAGTGCATGGTTGTATAATGATTTTCAAGCCATGTAGGGCTCATGAAATGAATTCAGTGGATTGGACTAGGATAATTTTCACGAAACAGACTTCAATAGAACCTATCAAAGTTCATTGCACATTATAAAGGTAATAAGTTCAGTTGCAGTTATATGTCTTTGTACATAGGGGTGTATGTGTGCATGTGTGTGTGTTTGTATACATGCAGATGAGTATACTGGGCCACAATTTAAGATTTATTTCTTGGTATGGGTTATTGTCAAAAAGTTTTGAAAATTAGTGTTCTAGGACAGTTGAGAGGCAGGAGAGCTCCTCATTCATTTGAGGGCAGGACGTGGTGTCCTGAATAAGAGACCTCTGGGAAAAGCCAGATTCAGATATGCAAACAGGCTCAGAGAAGCCCAGCATCCAGACTTTGGGGAGAGTTGGAAGAAGGGAGGCCCGTGAGCCTGATTCAGGTGTAAGGAGAGGCAGCTCCAGTTTCACGGGCAGCCTTTGCCCTTGCTGACCTGCCCAAGAGGCCAGAGTACAGAGGAAAATAGGGAGATACTTCTAAGAATCAAGACTGGACATCGACCAGGGCTTCTCCAGTACAGTGTTCCCAGGAAACCCAACATAATTGGGCAAAGGACATCCCAAGCCACATTATGTTTGGCCACATAAAGAAGGGTCACAGCTGCCTCAGCTGATCAGTGATCAGGCAGTATAGCCTTTGCAGCATGGGCATCCTAGCAGGAAGCCAGAGAGGGGAAACGTTGACCACTTCTTCTTCTCCATTATCCTATTTCATAAATTAGAGCCTGAGGGTTGTTAGAGAGCATCTAGTTCAGCCTCCTCAAAACAAGTCAGCACCCTGAGGCCCTGAGAGAAGGGCTTGCCTAAGGTCTCTTAACAGGTGATTGCTTTCTTCTTCCTTATTCTTCCCTTTTTGTTGTTTACAATGTGTATAGAGCATAATGGCTAAGTGTGTAAGCTTTAGACCCTACCACTTACTAGCTATACAATCTTAAGCAGGTTACATAGCCTCTCCAAGCCTCCTTTTCTTTATTTGTAAAAAAACAAAAAAAACAAAAAAGAGAGAGAGAGATAATAATGCCTGTCTTAGAAAATTGTGACCATTAATGAGATAACCCATGTAAAGATTTAAACACAGTGCCTAAAGTACTCTATAAGTATGAGCTGTTACTATAATTAACCTCATTACTATTTCAAAGGGGGGAAGGAAAGAGAGGAAGGAGACACTATTTAGAAAGACCACTGTGACTGGGTGGAGGATGGATTTGGAGGGCCACATAGGGCCTATACTAAGGCACAGTAGCAGCAGGGTGATGAGAAGCGGATGGACTTGAGAGGTAGAATTGCAATGACTTGGCAGCAGAGTGCTTGTGGGAGGTGGTGGAATAAA